CACATAATCTCATTATGCGAAATACACTCATTCAATATCTCGCCATATTAACAGTGCGGATAACACCGTTCCATTCTAAACGGGAATGACATGTATTAATAATGTTTTAATTAAAGATTCTGAACTTTAATTAAATTCATTATGAACAATTACTTTTGATTATTATCCTTAAACATTATCCTCTCGTATACAACACTTATATACCATGTTTAAGGTTACATAAATAATCAAGGAATTTTATTTGATATTCATAAAATATTCATAAATATATGCACATAAAATGATGAATAAACTCTTTTATTAAATAAATAATAAATATTCTTTTACATCTTATGCTTCTAGGACACTATTCCCAACAGTAGCTACTACCGGTGACGTGGACTTGTTTTAGGAAAGCGAAGAGTTGTATTTCCTCTTATCTTTTATTTCAAGGCATGTATAAGAGATTATGGATTGTAAACTTAAATATTACTAGACTGTGGTTGATGTCATATTTACTTTTGTTTATGTTCATGTATGCTAAACACCTATGGGAATTCCTGACATGATACCAGGGACGTGATTTTAGACTGGTTTGGTTAGAAATTCCACCACCATTCTTGAAATTAAATTTCTCTTGAATGCAGGGGCTCGTTTGGAAATACCTGGATGTTTTGGATTTGAAAGAAATTAAATTATTTTTCTAATTACTCTCTTAAACAGGTTTAACTTTCTAAACGAGCCTCTACGTCACTAACCCCGGTTTGGGGGCGTGACAGCTCTGGATCGGGTCGGGCGCCAACGGTAAAAAAATATAGCCGTTGGTTGGGCTCAGGCTTCGGGCAAGTAAGGTCAGAGGGAAAAACTTCAAAAAAATTCCGGCGGGCGGCAATCTCACAGCGGCGGGCTCCGGCGATTTGTCCATTTCCGGGCAACTCGAGCCCGAGCCCAAAAATTAGACTTGGACGGGCCTGCCCGCCGAGCCTGAAAAATTCAGGCTTCGGGCAGGCCCGCCGGCCCAAAGTTCCAACACTACATACAAAGGGTTTTACCTTTTCAGCCCAAAAAATTAATTACGGAAAATCTTCTCCAATAAAAAGTTGGTGTTTTGATAATTCTCTAATTTTCCGTCCTGAAATCTGTGTTAAAAAAATATATATTTTGCATATTTTTATCAAATTTAGTAGTCAAAACTCAAATTCTATTTGCTTACTAGAAAATTTCTTTTATTGTTTTCAATAGATGAAACTTTTTATGTCATTATTTAATGGATTTTTTTTGTTATTGATAGTTGTTTTTTTTATTATATTATATTTTATACTAGTACGAAATTGTATTTTTTTTATTTGATCCTTGGAAATGTTATAAGTACTCATATATGACTAATATTGCAAATTAGATCAAATTAAATTTTAATATTGTAAATTTGGTGTTCTCTCAAAAAAAAAAAAAATTTTTTTTTGTTCATTTAAGAGATGGAAAGGCATTTTGAGTGCGAATTTTACTTTTTCAAAATCAAAGGATAAACTGAAGGAGTAACATTTTAGAGGATCTTTAAAAAATTTATCAAAAAATACCTTGTTTCAAAATTTGGAAAGATGAATACAATTTAAAGATGAGGACATGTTGACAAGTAACACGGTTTAAGTAAAATTCGTAAAATTTATCTGAAAAAGACAAATTTTCCTTAGGTCTATCAACACCACAACTAAATTCTTCAGTTATCATAACGGTAGTTCTTATCTTGATTGAAGTTTCATTAAAGTTTACAAAGCGGTTGCCTACCAGTATCATTTAACTGTAGTAGAAGGTTGTGCCTTGTTTGTGCTGTGTGGATGGGCTGTTGAGCCTATTGTAATTTTATTCCACCGAATGGTTTTGGAAAACGTAGCTTCATTGCCATTTCCATTAAAAGCTCTAGCCGTCTTAATAGAAAACAGGTATAGCGCTAAGACCTAAACAGTCCTGCTTATTTGGTTTGTATATGACCAAGATTACAATATGTAAACTTACAACACAATTTGCCTTCAAGTATTCCATGAGAAGCATAAAACCACGACAAGATTACAAGAAGGGGAAACATTAAAACTCAAATGAAAAGAAAAGGGTCTTCCACAAAGAGGGAAAAAAGAAAGAAAGAAAGAAAAATCTCCAAGGGATTATGGCTGTTACAATAAGGATGAAAGTTGATTCAGAGAAATGCGCATGGTCTGGCCTTCTTTCGCCTTTTCTTCGGTTTCGGAGGCTGCAAAACGACCTTGATAGCAGCATCAAACACGGCCTTCACATTCTGGGAAAATGTCACCAGAGGCAAGGATAAACAAATAAATCCTGAGAATGGAAATTACAAGAAGTTGATATAGTTGATGATACCAATCTTCTGGGATTGGCAATGTTAGTTGGTAACCTAGGAGACTACGAGGTATCCATATTTGGTTTGTTTCTATACCTTTAGCAAATTTTCAAGGACTGGTTAATCATTGGTGAAACAGAGTAAAGTTTAGGGAAAATTGGGTCACAATAAAAAATCATTATGACATGCACCGTCCTCAAGTCTTCTCCACTACCAAAAGGAAGTACAGTGTTTCCTTAACTTTAGAACAAATGTCCCTAGAAGTGACAACTTGAAGGCATAAACCTTGAAAAAGAAGCTTATATTCGAAGGACAAGCGAAGCAGCTTAGTTGTAAAATTTGTCTGCGCACTATAATCTGAGGTTAGGCTAAGAGTACTTGGACATCTCAACTATTTGATACCAAATTATGTGACAGTGAGGTTCTTAATTTTCATTTCATTGATAGATGGAAATATTTTGATTTAATTGATGTTCTAATTTTTTAAACATTTACCAATTAAGAAATGGTAATTCACATGCCACATCTGATGTTAAAAAAAATTGGTATGAGTTCTGAATCTTGTGATCCTAGCATTCTTCTTAAGCCAGTGCTACTTTAGTAGTAATAGTGCCTTAATTTTGCATTCAAATCCACACTTACGTACTTCATGTACTAAACTTAATTTTCTCCGACTCTTCTGAGTTCAAAAGATTTGGTGAAAAATAAGAGTTTCATGTAAAATTAATTATGAAAATAAATAAACCTGCTGAGTCTTGGAGCTGCACTCCATGTAAACAGCAGCACCTATGGCCTTCTTCAGATCTTCACCCTGCACAAATGATCCAACCGTTAATATGCAAAATAATTTAATTTCAAAGCAAAATAGAAGAAGAAAAGTTTCTTTTTTTTTTTTTTGGGTTCGTGACTTGCCTGTGCAGTTGTGATTGGTGTGGCACCCGGATGATCCATAAGATACTGCTTGTCATCCCTCAAATCTAGAGCCAAATACATTTCAGATTTGCATCAAAATCAGAATCCAATGCGTAATAAACACATGAAGAACGAAATAATTAATTGAGTTAAATTGCATTGAAATTTTAACCACATAGCACTTCTAAGACATACCAAGTTTTGTTCCAACAAGCACAATTGGGACGGTTAGAGCATAATGCCTCAATTCAGGGATCCACTGGATGGTTGACAAAAAGTCAAAATGATGTCAAATTTTTTATTTTTTTTTTTAAAGCTTAGAATGTGAAATCACAAACTTTGAACCCCCAATACAATGAATGGGAAAAGAAAAATGTGATTTTGGCTTCCAATTAGGAACCAACCTTTTTGGAAATGTTTTCGTAGCTAGCTTTGCTGATGAGAGAGAATGCCAGCAAAAACACATCTGCACCCCTGTAACTCAAAGGCCTCAGCCTGTTGTAGTCCTCCTGTCCTGAAACTCACCAAATGTGCTAATTAAGCCTATGATTATAAGTTGAATCACTAATGACAAAAACTAATTATATTAAGATATGTCTAGACTTAATTAACTAACCTGCAGTATCCCATAATCCAAGATTAACAGTGCTGCCATCAACTACGACATTAGCACTAAAGTTGTCGAACACCGTAGGAACATAGTCCTACGAAAATTTCGTTAAGAAGTGAATGTCTGATCATAATGTAACAAAACTCAAGTTTGATGCGTGTACTTAAAGTTGAAATCACTACAAAGACATCATGTAATGTGACATACAGTGGGGAAGGTATTGCTGGTGTAGGAGATGAGCATGCAAGTCTTTCCGACCGCTCCATCGCCAACGGTGACGCATTTGATGAATCTAGCTGTGCTCATTTTATTTTATTTTCCTTCTTCTTGTTTTTGAACTATTCCGCTTGGTTTGTTTGAATCCTTTCTACATCTCTCTTTTTTTCACCTCCATTGGAGCACCAAACTGCAATATCTCTTTCCTTCTTGAGGAAAAGAATTGAAGAGAAAAACTAGAATAAGAAGGAAGTAGTGGAAAGTAAGGGTGGTGAGTTTGAATTTTGAATAGAAATGGAGGGCAAGAAAATGGCATTTAATAAGGTAAGGCCCTCATCACCTACTTTAGCTGTGCCTCCTTTATTATTCTTTTTAGCTTTACTATGATTGCCAGTGGCTTTCTGTTCCTTTAAGGGGAAGGCCAGAGGTAAAGACCAAGAAAGGAGGTGTTTGGTACTCGTGTTAGTTGGTTAAGTGTGGGACAAGGGAGAGATTGAATGATGAGTTTTGAGAAAATTAAACATTGCTTAATTAGCCAAAAGTATTATGATGGCTATAAGGACCAAAAAAAAAAAAAAAAAAAAGGAATCAATATTATAAAAATCGAAAAAAAAATTGAAATGAAAGTTTTGATACATGGAAATCCATATGCTATGTGGGCCACAAATTTACAGGTCACCTGATATAAAAACCATATAGTCTTTTTTTTATTTTTTATTAAGATGCTTTAGGAGACGTTTGGTTTATGGATTAAAACCATGTGATTAGAATAATTTTTTATTTACGTGTATTTTTTATGAGAGAAACTACTGTAACGAACCACGAACCATGATTGGAATCAGGGGATGAATCCCCCAACCAAACAACCTTAGTGTATGTGGTTCAATATGAGTTCAATTGCACCAAAAAGCCATGGAATGAGAAGGTAAATTATCACAACTCAAAGATGTAATTAACTTTATTTGGGTGTCACCACCATTATTTAGAGACTTGTGTGCAAGTGGGAAACGGGCCGGTCTTGAAGCAAATTATAGCTTAGTTTAATTTAGTTTGTTAATTAAGGCTTCGCTAACATTTTTTAAAAGCAACTTTTGGTAACATAGACACATACCGGATACTCCCTTGCATACTTGTGGTGACCATTATTTTAATGACCATTGGATACACTTTGTGATAGAATCTTAGAAGGAACTATGGGTAGGTTTACCAAACCATAAAAGAATGTAATGAAAATGGTAATAGAATTAGAAAGGAAAGTAATAAAAATGTGAATTATTGATTTTCTTTATATTATTTTTTATTTTATTTATTTATTTAATAGTGTAACAGGAAATAACCGGATCATATGTTAATTTTTTTTGCCCTAATTGATCAATTAAAGAACATTTCAATTTTTTAAATAATATGGCATAATATAAGTAGTTAGACACCATCTTAAATATTAAAATTAAACAGATGATTTGAATAAAAAACAACCCAATCCTCTTTCTACAGTTACTAAACTTAAAATAGGAATTTTAACAATGCGATTACCAGATTATCCTTTTGAATACTTAAATAATCAATGACTTACAACATAATTGAGAATGAATATCAAGGCAGTGTAAGGACTGGTTCCTCAATCCAGTTCTTATATAATGTATTTATTACAAATTTTGTAAATAAATATGTAATTAGATGGCAAAACAAATCACTCCCGGTTCTTTTTTCCCATTCCATACAAAATAATTGAACTGAGAAATAGAAATATTAAAGAATTAGATAAAATTACAAAAATAATAATTATTTTTTTTTATCATTTTATTATTTACTCTATTAAAAATTATTCTTGTAAAATATGAGACGTATTCTGTAAAATATGAAAAATATTCTATTAGAAAAATAAAATATTCTGATAGAATATAAAAAATATTCAGCCATAA